TGGAAAGCTCAACAGTCTGGCCGGTGTGATTTACTCTAATTAATTGTATCGAATATTTGCAGCTTAACCAGTGCTGTTGATTCAATGTGAAGCACCCCTGGGACACGCTCCCCTCCTCATTTCAATCTAGCTCAGTATGTAACGCCAGCCATCACTGACCTAGGAGTCAAAATTGATATGAAACTGGATAAACACGTTAGGAAGGTTAAATCTAGTTTCTTTCAATTAAGACAGCTGGCCAAGTTGAAACCTTTCTAAACAGAATTTTGAGACCGTTATACACGCCTTTGTGACTACTAGACTAGATTACTGCAATGCACTTTTTGTGGGGATGAATGGATCGTCTCTCGCCCGTCTCCAGATGGTGCAAAACGCTGCAGCTCGTCTTTTAAAAGGAACACGTAAATATGAACACATCTCCCCAGTTCTACGTTCACTCCATTGGCTACCCATTTAGGATCGATTTTAAACTTCTTTTACTGACTTTTAAATCCTTGAATGGCCTTGCCCCCACTTACTTATCCAAGCTGCTTCATCCTTATACACCTACCCGCTCGCTCAGGTCAACTGACAAACTTCTCCTGAGAGTGCCAAAAACTTGTCACAAATTTAAAGGGGACCGTGCTTTTGCGGAGGCAGCTTCGAAACTGTGGAATGCCCTTCCTCTTACCATTAGACAGGCTTCCTCACTCATCTCTCCCATCTGGCTTTTGACCCTTGAGGATGACACTTGGAGCAACTCATTTGTTAGTGTTTTTAATTCATACATTATTGTATGTGATAACCTGTAAATTGATGTTTGTTTTTAATCTTTGTACAGCACTTTTTGCAACTTCGCGATTGCTGTTAAAGTGCTCTATAAATAAATTTTGATTGATTGATTGATTGATCAATGTGAAGCAATGGAGCTGTATAGAGTATAATGTTCAGTTATTCATATGTCACAAAGTACTATTTATTGCGTGGATATTATATGGTATAATAATTACTATATGTTTTGCCTCCTTCCACGTGGCTGTTGTGAACTAGGGCTGACCCTGAATAGTCGAAGATTCGATGCTTTGACTGTAAATCTCACAGACGAAGCTTCCCAACGGCGTAATGAAACGAGGATCATACCATTTTGGCGATGGGGGGGTTGTTCAATGTCTGTTGTACGTAAAACTACCAGTTTTCTCCCAGGTTAATATACAGCCTATACTAAAATATCAGCATATAGTGCTGTAAATAAAAATGTGAAAAGAAAGAAGCTTTTAATAATTCTGAAAGTGCGTGAATAAATCCAAAATTGTAACCCTAATCCTAAAGGAAGGGGGATCAGTGCGCATGTGTGGCCGTAGCATGTGTGTGTGTGCTTGTAGCAGAAGATCCTTAACACTTGCTGAAGAGAGACAACAACAGTGTTGTGCCGAGTTGTCCGCACCTCACGGGACATTCAAATTATTTATCACCAATTGATGAACCACACAAAGAATATATTGTTTTTAAACAGTACCGGCAAGGAACCCCGATGTGCATTTGAGGTATAACATAGACATAGCCGACAAAAAGCAACAAATTTAATAATCAATTTGTTCACGACTTCATTCACGCCATAGCAACACCGTCACCTTATAATGGAGTGAAGTGATGTGAACAGTAAAGTTAATAAAACAACACAACATCAGCACTGGTAGTAACACTTTCACAAACTAAAACCTCCAAAGTGTGGGAGCATTTCACTCTTCAGAGACTCTTCACTCTTCACTCAGCCAAAAAGGTTGTTAACTGCTCCTGGCCTGGGAGCAAGTCAGTTATGCCGGAGCATCTGAAGAGGAGGCACGTAACATTGGCACTCTGGATGATGAAGAGTCGTCTCAGAAAGGTAGTTAGCAAGCTAGCTTAACCTTAAAGCCATGTGACTTCACTTTATAAGCTGTAACTGTTTCTATACAGTTTCCCTTGGTCAATTAATTGTTAATGGAGTTTAGAGTAGTAAATAATTAATAAACACAACGGTCCTGTTCACTTTCCAGATGTGCCCTAACTTTACATCATAAACGATGCATCGCTCGTGTTACTGCCAAGTGCACAAGATTGGACACAGGACAATTTCATACTTTCTAAAAAAAGGCGTTTTGTGAGTTGTTGTGTTAGGGGAAACTATGGAAACTTTGTGAAATGTTGTCTACTACAAAATCGTTATTATTGGTCCTCTCTTGTCTTTGTATAAATATAGTGTCAGTTTGTCCCAGTGTGTTGCATTACCGGCGTGTAAGCTGCTCCGTCACTAGACAGCAGATCAGCTGCTCAGACTAGTGCTCTCACAGCGCTGCACACACACAGTTATTTCTTACTGTATACCTGTTTGGTCCATGAAAGGACTGGATTTCAGTGGAACTTTCTGTTGCTGCAGAAGAAACGTATCATTTTATTGTCTTAATTGTTAATTAGCACAAGCCTAAACCAACCTCAAATTTGATTTAAAAGCTGATAGCTAAATCAGTCAAGTGCGGAAAAGTGAATGTCAGTGTGTAACCCCCCATACCCCACCCGCGCACACAATCGCCGCTGCACAAACACACATGATTCGACGAGCACTCGACTATAGGCAAGACTTGACAAGTCTGATTCGACTATGTATACAACTGTTAGTTGTATGATTCTGCAATCATACAACTAAGAGACTGCACCAGAGTTGTCTGGTGACATGGACACAAACATGGGAATCTTTCCCAGTTTTAGTTAATACTGATTGATTTCCAGTTTTCCAGCAGAACACAGTGAAGTGGTGGGTTATCCAGGAATGCCTCAATAATGCCACCTCATCACACCAGCTTGCATCATGACCTAATGTGACACAAAATATCCCCGACTGCCAGATTTTGTAATAATGTCTGAGTGAGCTGAGGGGCAGAGTAAAGCCACCATTATGCATTTTATTTGTTGTGTCATTTGTCCCACAGGGGGTGTTTCAGAAGCAGTTTTGCCTGCCTGATTTTGCTGACTTGCTCAGATTTTGATGATTTAGTCATTTTGTGATTTATGTTCTTCTACCATTGGTAAGTAGGCTACTTGTTTAAATACCTCTAGTAGTGATATTATGAAGCTACACTTGCAATCTTGCATTGTGCATTAAGTGATGATGATGACCTTGTATTTGACCGTGAAGTCAAAGCAATCAGTAAAACAAAGTGGTGAACATGTGGATAGGTGAATGGACGGAGGTTGCAGATCTTACCAGGGGGACACAGGCAGCTTTGGGGAGCTTCTCTCATCTCCCGTGTCTTCGGTAGTCGCGCTGCAAGCTTCTACATGAGAGGAACAGAAGTAGAACGTTAGAGTGCACTGACATTGTAACATTTCATGCTCGGTGCAACATGAATGTTCCATGGATACATGGAGCCCTTAATATTTAATCTATCAATTGTCATTTATCATTTGACTTTCAGCTTTTGACTGATTGTCTTTTAAAGAGGTACTTTGTGGCTGATCATGCTAATAATGCAGTAGTTTCTGCTGATATTCAATATGTTAACATTTTACCATGTTATGTCTAAAAAAAGAACTTTTTTCCCAGAAATATATCAATGTCAAATAAGAAAAGACCTTAATTAAGGCCGTAAAATGAAAACCATTATGATAACAGTAATTCATATCCAATACAAAGTCTCACAACATTTAAATGACCATCATGACCATGCGCATGACAGTCCACTCCTAACTTTGGAAAAAGCTGCTGGAAAAACAATTGTAATTTAATGTCCACTTACTTGCTTGTTCCAGAATGGACTGTATTACATGGTTTTTAGCAGATGGAGTATGAAACTGTACATATTAAAACATTCCATGATTCTGAGCACTTTAGGACTTCCTGCCATTGTTGGGAGTGAACTTTCAAGCTCAACTTTTAAGCCAACGTGGACAAGAAGTCCAGTTGTTATGTTATGCTTATTTGCTCTTTGTGCAAAGTAAATTCCCCTAGGGGCATAAAGGTTTCATTCAGTTACAATTTCATGACAACTTCATATGCTGATGGACCACGATATGGTTGAAAGCTACAGTGTTTTGATGCTTTGGCAATGTTGTTATTACATTCATGCCAATAAAGCTAATTTGAATTGAATTGAATTGAATTGTGTTTTGGATTGACTTTAAAACCATCACCAGGGGCATGTAGATGTGTATAGCTAGCAAAATAGATTTTAAACTGTCAGTTGTGCACACTCAACACAAATTGCGACTTACAGTCCTTACAATATATATTTGAAAAATGTGTGCTAGTGTGTTAAGACTGCTCTTTAGAACGTTGTAACCAAAAAACCTTTATTGTTTGCCTGCCAACATTTTTTAGTCTTTCTTGACATATCCAAGAGTGATAGTTCACATCATTAGATCAAAAATAGCCTATGTGTGATTTGTCCCTGAACAGAATACAAAACCATCCAAGTACATTCTCCACAGAATAGCAGTCAGTCCCACTTGTGATGGTTACTAGCAGAGGAATGCCTGGCTGATTAGAGGCCTGTAACAGGTGCTGAAGAGGATATCATAAATGCACAGTAATTCTGAGCACTAATGCAGTATTCTGGGTATTGCCTGGGTTACTGCAGTGTGTCTGTTATCCCGGTATGTGGGAGGAATGCCATGGATCAAATCAGGGATCATTAAGGGGAAATGTGTAACATTTGCTTCCAAAATTGTTGGATGGAACCTGAACCCAATTTCGCAGGGGCTTTTAGACTTTGTTAGATAATCAAACAAGCTAAAAAAAAAAAACAATTAAAAGTAAATGTATGTCCTTCAGGCCTTCCATGAGTATTTTATTCCTTACATATGGAGTTAACTATGGACACATGCTAAATCTATGACTGCTCTGTATGACTGCATGCTCAGACACACATTTCCCTTAAACCACTTTATATTATTCATGAATACTGACAGGAATTTATTTGGTTGATACTTGTAGACCCGACTCTGTTGAGTTGTTGAGAGATAAAGCTGAGTGGAGTGCAGTTCAACAAAGAGCTGAACATAACCACAACAAAGCTTACAACAGAAGCAGTGCCTGCCAAAGGGAGACAAATATAGTGGACATACTTCAAAGACTGTCATTAGTCTTTAACTCGTGTCTTCACATATGCATTGTCCCACAGTCTAATGACTGTTCTATCTGAATTATACACTCCTTTTGCTCTGTAGGAAACAATAATTTGTTATGCAGATGATACTCAATTATACCTATCTATGAAGCCAGATGGAATCAATCAGTTAGCTGAACTTCAAAATGCCTTTAGGATGTAAAAACCTGGAAGAGCTGCGATTTTCTGATGTTAAAGTCAGAAAAAACTGAAGTTATTATACTTGGCCCCAAACACTTCCGATACACATTATCTAGATAATAGTTACTCTGGATGGCATCGCCCTGGCCTCCTGCACCACAGTGAGAAATCTGGGAGTTATCTTTGATCAGGATATGTAATAAGTAATTTGTCAAAAATAAGGAATATCCTGTCTCAAAATGATGCGGAAAAAGTAGTCCATGCATTTGTTACTTCTAGGCTGGATTACTGCAGTGCAATCGTTCTAAAGATAGTCGGATTCGGCCATGGGAACACCAGGAGAGATGCCTGTGCTCTGGTCACTCTGTGACAGAGACAGAGAGACGTCGTCGGCAGTTGAAGTCTGGGAGAAGATAAGGAAGGCTTGGGTTTGGCTCGCTGGCCATTTAACGTTAGCTGTATTAGTGCCTTATGTTGTTCAACATGTTCAACTTTTCATAAAGGCAACGTGATTGTCAGTCACTGTTGATCAACCGACCCATGGGGTTGTAGCAGCGGAAGTGAAGCTAAATTTTGGTCTGAATATAAAACCCCAACACAAAATGTCTCAGCAACATTGCTCTTATGCCCATGAGCATGCGATGCACCTTAGAATAGCTTAAAACTGCAGTATTTTCCAAGTTTAATGTGAGCTTTAGATGAATGTTTAAGTGTTGGTCGGGAGGTTTGGGGGTCCTCCCCCATGAAAATTTCATGTTTTCCAATGAAAAATATGTCATTTCAAATCATATTGGGCCATTATTTTCAGCATATCTCTGAACAAATACTTGGAAATGCTAGAGCAGATAATAAATAAACAATACCCAAAGATCAGTCAACTGGAGGAACTACAACCTTTAGATCTGGAGAAAGTAATTTGGTTGGTTCTGTTGCTCCACAGTGATTTTACGTTGATGGCAGGAAAACCCTGTTAATATGACCTCAGAATCATTATAGATATGACTGTTCATGTTTGCCTTTTGTGTCTTCATTTTACAGCTTCTGACATTGATCTGTAGATATTAATATAGAAAATAGGCAACATGAGAAACCTCCTCCCTTCTGAGATGCATTTTATTTGCACATTAAAATCCAAAAAGAAATGTCTCCACATTAGCTTAAAAGGACTAGTTTGCATCACTAATTAGCTTTACTAACCTCAGCCTCCAGTCACCTCTGTCCTTTCTTTTCTGAAACCACTTTTTCAAACTGAAAACTGAAAAATAATTTAATCAGTCTGTACAGGACAGAGCTGCAGGCTACATCAGTTTAGTCTAAGTTTGTAACTGATGTTCTCAACATTGGACAAGTAGGCAGTAATAAAATACAGCTTCCAGTTACTTTCTATAAATTGAGCTAATGTTAAGTTCCATAGCAGCTGTGTAGCTGCTGTAGAAGCTTTCCTGCTCAGCTGCGCAGTCGGAAGGGGAGGGGAGATGTTAGCTAACTTAGCGCTAACCGGCTTCACTTTTCCAGCAGGTGGGAAACAACAGACTTTTCTTGGTCTTGAGAAGCTATCACACTGTAACAGACACCATACATTTACTAGCAGAATATTTTCCTCCGCTCGCATTCACCGTCACTTTCTGCCGCTCGGAAAATCAAACACTCGCTATGCACCTCCTGATTCAGAGTTACGTTGCTCTTATAACACCATCACCCATACGTGACTTATGTTCTGCATAGAACGAGGAGAGTAAGTGAGCCGAGCATTGAGTGCTGCCGTGCTCAAAAAACTCCCTTTTAGCCAGTAGAAACCCTGAGGAGAACCATGACTCAGGTCTAATACTGTTCTGAATTTAAAGACAACCAGGCAGCTAACATGCACACTTCAATATTTATCGCAAGCCATAACGTCATCACAATATTTGACAATGTTATCGCATATTGCAGATTTTCCACATATGGTGCAGGCCTAGTATATAGTGCATTTGGGAGAATGAATCCACATTTCGTGCTTTAGCGAGTATCTGGTGCAGCAGGACGGTGTGTGTGGGATTGAGTCAAAATAAACTACAGTGTGTGTGTTCATGATGATGAAGGAGCATTGCAGCAGTATATATCATTTTTATTTATCGTGATACGTCTACACAGCCTCATACCCAGGCACAATAACTGCGAACAAAGTTTACTAGAAACATTACACAATAAGCTAATGGATTCTGCTGTGATCCAAATTTGACTGGAAGAATAATAAGAACCGACTCTGTGCTGCTGGAATGAGGCACATTTTCCATAACAGAGGAAACAGGTCATCAGTGAAGGAGACAAGGAGGTGGATTCTGGAAAGTGTTGGGTGAAAGTACCATAGACGTGTCGCTTTCTACAAAAGGCCACATCTGTGCTTGTGTCCCATTAATATTGACTGTTTATACACACAGAGCTAAACAAGGCTGCATGGAGATGAAGGCCGAGAGGTCCTCCTTACTGGGCCCTTTTGAAGTCCTCCAGAGCCAGGCACTCAAACTGGACAACAGGACACCTTTGATTGGATTGAACTGTGTCCTTTAGTACATCAACCTCACTATGTTCTATTTGTGAAGACATATTTGAAGGAATACATGTAAATCTGTGACTTTCGTCTGTCATGTTCATTTATGAGTGTCTGGTGTGTTTCTTAGTTGTCCACTCATAGCTGACATGGCCTCAAAAGAAGTAAAAATCTAGACTCGGGCTAACATACAGAGTTCAATACCGCCGTCATCTCCAGCAGTAGGCACCCTGTGCTGCTTTTTCTCATGGTAACTACATCATACTAGCTCTAGTTAAAGGTCATGGGATTGGTAGAAACAGACAAGGGGAAAACAGGACCCCTGGGGGACTGCAATCACTGTGAAAGAGCTTGTTAGTGTAGCTGTGGAAGAGGTCAATGAAAGGGCAGCCCAGAGGGCCACTTTAGGAGCAACAGATGTGAAAGGCCAGAGAGAGCTCCTCACACATTATCTCAGCGAAGATATGATATTTCTAAGACATGTACAACTTGGTCTGGGAATGGTCTAATCCAGTAATGCGCAAGAACATTGTTGAATTGATCCGTCCCAACGAAAGACGTTCTTGTACCACTTTCTAATAAGGCATCCTCTATGAAGGTAGTGGTGGCTTTATTAAACGTCAATAAAGCATCTAATCTATAAGTTAGAAACCATAAGTAAGAACAAGTTTTGGGTTGTAGAAGCCAAGTTGTAGGAAAATCTTTTTGGTGTTCACCCTTTAGATTAACCCTTTCTAGTAAGATGGTTAATGAAAAATTTACTGATGCTTTATAGATCAATTAGAAACCATTAAGAAGAACATGTTTGGGTTTCCCAAGTCTCAAAAAATGAGTTAATCAAGTTATTTGATGTCACAATTCAAAAGGATCAGAATGCAATAATAGCTCATTACTATTTTATAATCCTTACTGAAGCTATGTGAGCTCCTCCTTATCCATAAAAGCATAGGAGACAACTACTAAACCTCCTTCAAGTAATTAAACATTTTATTCAGTAAAGACTAAATATAAAAAATAGTGAACTAACTTATTTATATTAACTAAATTATCGTTCTTTCCTTTCGACCTGACATTATTCATCATCCCCTGAAAGTGACATGAATTAAAGCTGTAAGTCCCATCTGAGGCTGCAGCCTACACCATCATTTTTTACCTTTTAATTCCATGAATTTAATTATTAATAATGACTGTAAGTTAAACCCCATAAAACTGACCAAATACAATAAAGTAATGGGGAATTTTACTCATCCAAAAACCCTTTGACAATGCTGACAAGCACATCATTAATTTGCACCCCAAAATATTTAAGACCCCTGACATAAAACAAAATCCGAACCTTGATAACATCTTAAATGGGTAATTAATGCGTTTGCCAGATATTTCAAATGAAGGCTTTAAAGTGTGAAGTGTTTAGTGTGTTTTAGGGATAAATTCAGGATTAATTAAGTATTAAGAGTATTTAAGGGGTTGTGCCACTTGTAGAATGGGTCTACATTGAAGGGCAACTTATAGTTCAGTCATCCTCTCTTTCAATAAACAAATATTGTAAGCAATATTTTCCTAGTCAACAGAAGCCATATTGCGGTTTCTAAAACGTTTAGATTTTGTTTTTCAGTAAAGCCTCACCTCCTCCAGGATCTGGTCCAATTGGCCCAGGATAACGGGCTCCACCTGTTCCAAAGACAACATCCACGCGGTGAGGTGTGCGTCCCGCTGCTGCTGCTCCAGACTTACTATCCTGGACTGCAACTCCGACGTCCGCACAAAAACCACAATGCAAACTCCAATGCACAGAACAGATACTGCAACGCAAATCGTTACGCCAGACAAATCTCTCCAGTTCCTCCACAGAGGCTGTTTTAAAGATCCCTGCGTGCCGCGAGTCCTCTCTTCACCCGGTTTACCAGCGACTCCCCACTTCTGACCCTCTTCCATTTTACACGTCTGACTTTGGTTTTATCCACAAGGAAATCCCTATCTTCATCAGTTGAATACCAACAGAAGAGGAATCCTGCCGACCCGCAGCTCTGGTGCTTATGAGAGAGTCTCTCTCCGTTGGAGAGGGGAACAGTTTTGCAGATGTCTTTTTTCTTCTTCAAACTGTCTCCAAATCCATTCGCTGCTTCTCCTATGAGCGATCCCGGTCCACCGTAGGTCAGCCTTCAGTGCGCGTCTCTGAAACCCGACCCAGCCTCCCTCCTCTGCACAACTCTGGATGCCGCGGGCTCTTTGCTCACAGTGCATGCTCCTCCTCTGCGAGGCTTTAGGTGCCGGGGCGGGACTGATGGCGGTGCTGCTGACCCCTTTGATCCGCGTAGCCTACTTGGTGAGGGATATTTTTAGGGTTCGCAAAGCCAGGACTCAAACAGTCACACAGCCGGCATACAGAGGCTTTCTGACAGAAGTGCCATTCACCACAACGAACTCATACCAACATGTATATCTGTTCCTTTCAGTGCATGAAATTGGAATAAGTTACCTTTGCACATTAAAATAATAAGAAGGGTGGGTAGGTGTGAGCCAAGGAGAAGAGGGATAGAGAGCTAAGAAGAAGTTAGCGTGTAGCGCTTGGTGATGGCAGAGGTGTGTTTTTGGCATTGGCTATGGCCCACAGTAGCCTGTATCTTGTTCAGTAATAAAGAGCGAGTAAACCAGCTATCATCTCATAGGTTCTTATTCAGGGACGCTACAATATTCTGTTCTAAATCCCAAAAGCCAGCACATCACTGGATCAGTCCTCCTTTCAGTTTACCTTCTTGTTGGAACCAGTTACAGAAAACAACTAAACTATCAACATTTGTCTCTTATTCAAAAAAATAATCTCCAACACATTTACTGAAACCTGTAACTGCTTCCTGTGATGATGATTTATGATACTCCTGCCCATACATTTCTTCTTCTGTTTGTCCCCTGTACTGCCCTTTATATTGTTTTTTTGGTGGTGCGACAGCAGATACTTCTGTAGGGTGAACAGGCTGCGGCTCGGTGGGTGCCAAGTAAAAGCAATGATACTTCATTAGGGCTCTGGTGTCAATCAGGATGCACAATACATAAACATCATCCAAACAAAGACATAAATATAAACATGGTAAATGGACTGTACTTGTATAGTGCCTTTCTACTCTTCCGACCACTCAAAGCGCTCAGGAGTAACAATTAAAAAAGAACACGAAACAGATGCAAACTACACATGGTCCATTTAATATATCACAATTGTAATCTTTATTAAATAAACAATAAGTTTGTTGTAACTAGTTAGTTAGTTGATGTGGAGCATATTTTAACTACTTCATATAATGTTGGATAATTTAATCTACCGTACCGTTCAAAAGTTTGGGGTCACCCAGACAAGTCACACTTATTCATCAAATGAGTTGCAAAATTAATAGAAAATATAGTCAAGACATTGACAATGTTATAAATACTGATTTTTATTTGAAATAATAATTTTGTCCTTCAAACTTTGCTTTCACCCCACGCTTCCTGAAGCACCTCCCACAAGTTAGATTGGCTTGATGGGCACTTCTTACGTACCATACGGTCAAGCTGCTCCCACAACAGCTCAATAGGGTGGCTGCGCTGGCCACTCCATTACAGACAGAATACCAGCTGACTGCTTCTTCCCTAAATAGTTCTTACATAGTTTGGAGGCGTGCGTTGGGTCATTGTCCTGTTGTAGGAGGAAATTGGCTCCAATCAAGCGCTCTCCACAGGGTATGGGACGGCGTTGCAAAATAGAGTGATAGCCTTCCTTATTCAAAATCCCTTTATCTTGTGCAAATCTCCCACTTTACCAGCACCAAAGCAGCCCCAGACCATCACATTACCTCCACCATGCTTGACAGATGGCGTCAGGCACTTCTCCAGCATCTGTTCACTTGTTCTGCATCTCACAAATGTTCATCTGTGTGATCCAAACACCTCAAACTTAGATTTGTCTGTCCCAATCTTCCTCTGTCCAATATCTGTGTTTTTTTGCCCATCTTAATCTTTTCCTTTTATTGGCCAGTCTCAGATATGACTTCTTCTTTGCCACTCTGCCTAGAAGGCCAGCATCCTGGATGCCTCTTCACTGTGGACGTTGAGACTGGCGTTTTGCGGGTACCATTTAATGAAGCTGCCAGTTGAGGACCTGTGAGGCGTCTATTTCTCAAACTAGAGACTCTGCTGTACTTGTCCTCTTGCTTAGTTGTGCACCTGGGCCTCCCACTTCTCTTTCTGTTCTGGTTAGACCCTATTTGTGCTGTTCTCTGAAGAGAGTAGTATACACTGTTGTAGGAAATTTTCAGTGTCTTGGCAATTTCTCGCATGGAATAGCCTTCATTTCTCAGAACAAGAATAGACTGTCGAGTTTCAGATGAAAGTTCTCTTTTTCTAGCCATCTTGAGAGTATAATCGAACCCACAAATGCTGATGCTCCAGATACTCAACTAGCTCAAAGGAAGGCCAGTTTTATAGCTTCTCTAATCAGCACAACAGTTTTCAGCTGTGCTAACATAATTGCACAAGGGTTTTGTAATCATCAATTACCCTTTTAACATGATTAGCTAACAAAATGTACCATTAGAACACAGGAGTGATGGTTGCTGGAAATGGGAATCTGTACACCTATGTAGATATTCCATTATAAATCAGCTGTTTCCAGCAACAATAGTCATTTACCACATTAATAATGTCTAGACTGTACATCTGATTAATTTAATGTTATCTCCAATGAAGAAATGCTTTTCTTTCAAAAAATAAGGACATTTCTAAATGACCCCAAACTTTTGAACGGTAGTGTATAATAATGCATCTTATTTTATAAACTGATCATGTAATTTTCATGTAAATTATTCATTGATAAATTGTTCTGTTTTTATGTGGTGGCTACCTCATGACCCAATGCTAATTGTTCCCTAAAATTGATAGGTGTACTACCCTTAATAAAGTGTTTTCTGTTCTGCTGCAGCTTGGCTCGAAGCTGATTGAAAGACCAGTCAAATCAAGATGGTTGACCTCATGCAGTGGCTCGTCAAATGCATTTTTGAAAAAGCACATGGGTAGCTTTCTTAATGGTCTCAGGCCACCGCAGAAGGCTTTTTAAAATGCAAAGAAATATTTTCCTGTCTTGTGTACTGTAATTGAAGTCTGACCAAAAGATGTCCCATTGAATGTCAGCCACATCTTAGGACACCATGTTTCTGCAGAGGTTTATGACGGTGGCTTGATGGGCAGGAATCACTACGTAATGACTCCATGTCCTTGTAATTATAATGTGGCTTGGTTTGGCCAGATGGCTTTGTATTTCTCAGGGCTGAAAAACACACTTTGAAAGGTACGGTTATTGCAATCATGGGATGCTTTTAAATTAATAGTCACTAATCCTGCTGTTAAAGCTGTGGTAAAGATTGTAGTTGTAAAGTTACTTGAGAATGAGTTTAGCATTTCCTTTAGCAGAACTACTTTTACTTTTACTTTTCAGCAGAAACATTTTTCTTTTATGAGGGAGCACCATAAACAGTCTACACTCACCTAAAGGATTATTAGGAACACCTGTTCAATTTCTCATTAATGCAATTATCTAATCAACCAATCACATGGCAGTTGCTTCAATACATTTAGGGGTGTGGTCCTGGTCAAGACAATCTCCTGAACTCCAAACTGAATGTCAGAATGGGAAAGAAAGGTGATTTAAGCAATTTTGAGCATGGCATGGTTGTTGGTGCCAGACGGGCCGGTCTGAGTATTTCACAATCTGCTCAGTTACTGGGAAAAACATCCAGTATGCGGCAGTCCTGTGGGCGAAAATGCCTTGTTGATGCTAGAGGTCAGAGGAGAATGGGCCGACTGATTCAAGCTGATAGAAGAGCAACTTTGACTGAAATAACCACTCGTTACAACCGAGGTATGCGGCAAAGCATTTGTGAAGCCACAACACGCACAACCTTGAGGCGGATGGGCTACAACAGCAGAAGACCCCACCGGGTACCACTCATCTCCACTACAAATAGGAAAAAGAGGCTACAATTTGCAAGAGCTCACCAAAATTGGACAGTTGAAGACTGGAAAAATGTTGCCTGGTCTTATGAGTCTCGATTTCTGTTGAGACATTCAGATGGTAGAGTCAGAATTTGGCGTAAACAGAATGAGAACATGGATCCATCATGCCTTGTTACCACTGTGCAGGCTGGTGGTGGTGGTGTAATGGTGTGGGGGATGTTTTCTTGGCACACTTTAGGCCACTTAGTGCCAATTGGGCATCGTTTAAATGCCACGGCCTACCTGAGCATTGTTTCTGACCATGTCCATCCCTTTATGGCCACCATGTACCCATCCTCTGATGGCTACTTCCAGCAGGATAATGCACCATGTCACAAAGCTCCAATCATTTCAAATTGGTTTCTTGAACATGACAATGAGTTCACTGTACTAAAATGGCCCCCACAGTCACCAGATCTCAACCCAATAGAGCATCTTTGGGATGTGGTGGAACGGGAGCTTCGTGCCCTGGATGTGCATCCCACAAATCTCCATCAACTGCAAGATGCTATCCTATCAATATGGGCCAACATTTCTAAAGAATGCTTTCAGCACCATTTTGAATCAATGCCACGTAGAATTAAGGCAGTTCTGAAAGCGAAAGGGGGTCAAACACAGTATTAGTATGGTGTTCCTAATAATCCTTTAGGTGAGTGTATGTTCAATAGCAAGTGGCCCTGTAGAGTGTGGTGAAGTGGTTGAGCACAAGGTGTAGCGACAAGCGGGGGCATTCCTGTGAAACTGTCACGGTTGTGCTTGCCTCACGCACACGCCCGTGCACTGCTGAAGTTGAATTGTCTTGAAATTTTTGTATGTGATGCGCAGCACAAATCATTGGAAGAGAGACCGATCCTCGCTATTAATGAGTTTCCAGAATCTATTACTAAATAGTTATAAGGACATCAACTGGAGGGAATTCACATGGCAGACCATCAACACAAAACTAGGTATAAATCAGGTAAAGCTATTTAGCCTATCATTTTAGCTTAATTTAAATAGGCTACAGCTGTGTAGCGCACAGAAGCTGTTGCCATGGTTACTAAGACCGACATCTTCCCCAATACTAACCAGCATGCAGTGTGTAGCTCTGTCTCTGGTCCACTTCGCTATGGCATTTAATTATTTGCTAGTGTTGCTTTTGTTAATCTACTTCTCCCACACGCTGCATCCAGTGTAGTCTGCCGAAGCCTCCCTCAACTGCTTGTTTGGGTGG